TTTTTTAAATTTTATTGAAATTAACAGTATTATGTTGGGGGTTAAGTGTATAGACACTTGTCAAAAAATTATATAAGAAACACCAAAGGACATGAAAAATGAGGACAACGGATCCGTCCAATACAGATATACATGCAGAGTTGCTTTAGTTGACTTAGGGCTCTTCAATGGGCCGGGCGGGCCCCCATAAGCCCATGAGCCCGCGGGCCAAATGATGAGGCCTAAGTTGACTGTTGACAGAGGGGTTTTTAAAACATTCTAATAAGTTTAGGGGAAAGGTGAGTCAAATTAACTTTTACCTTTTCAGTTAAAATCTTACACGGAATGGGTCCATTGAATGGGTCCATTGAGCCTTATCCCATCAAACTTTTGGTGTGTTTTTCTCTCTTAATTTAGGAAAATTCTACGGTCCTTTGGTGTATGGGTACACCAAAGGATATGGGCCCTTAGATTGAGATTAGTGGGATATGGACTAATCTACACCCTTGGTATGGAAAACCGGGAAACCTGGTATTAGAGGTAAAGAGGTTTATTAAACATTAAAATATGTTACAGTCCAATTGGCAAATCGATACCCATCAATTGCCACAGTCATTGACGTTGTAATCACGGTGCAAAAGCTCATAAATTCAAACCCAAATTTTGTAATCTACAAAATTAAGGATAGGCTTTACAATGTTATGGAACGTCTATGTGCCAAACATTTTAATATGATTCCTTAATGTCATCAATCCTGGTTTTTACAAATACTATGAACAATTTTACTTTTTTAAGGTCCAACCAAACGTTAATTTTGTAATCGACATCATTTTCATTGTAAATTAGGCTATTACAATATTATGGACTAGAGTAAACCTTATTCTTGTAATTACGGTGCAAAAGCTCATAAATTCGAATCCAAATCTTGTAATCTACAATATTAAGAATAGACTTTGCAATGTGACAAAACGTTTAGGTGCCAAACATTGTAATATGAGTCCTTAATATTGTAAACCCATGTTATTACAAGATTATGGATAAAATTTAAAATGTTAGAGAACTTTCATGTGCCAAACATTTTAATATGAATCCTTAAGGTTGTAAACATTGTTTTTACAAGCTTAGGGATAACCTTTACAATCTTAAGGAACTCTAAGGTCCCCAAAACTGTAACATGAGTCATAATATTGTAAATTCTAGTTTACAAGAATAATGAACAATTTTACTTGTTTAAGGTCAAACCAAACCTTAATATTGTAATGGACGTCATTTTCATTGCAAATTAGACTATTACAATTTTATGGATTAAAGTGAACCTTAACATTGTAATCACAGTGCAAGAACTTGTAAATGCAAACCTAAATCTTGTAATCTACAAGATTAACAATAGACTTCTCAATTGTATGGAATGTTTATGTTTCAAACGTTGTAATATGAGTCCTCAATATTGTATACCCTTGTCATTACAAGATTATGGATAAAATTTACAATGTTAAGGAATGCTCAGAGATAGTTCTCAAATTAGAACTTATAGGAAACCGACAAGTTCTTCGTGGGATCGACCCCGTACTTACATAATCTATACTTCATTAGATTCGTGCACTTGCGGGTATTTTTAATTGGTTGTTTGCACATTAATTTGTGTCCTTTTAGGAATGCAACACGGACCTGTGTAGGTGCAAGGAGGTGCACTTGCACCTTCGATCACCGGAAAACTCCATTACAGTTGCTGGATTGCACCTCTGCTCATGCACATAACCTGTTCGATGAAATGCGCAAGTGAACTTGCGCTGCTGGGCTGCTGGGCTGCTGCGCGCAGCACACGACCTCTTTTTTTTTTTTTTAATGAAGCATGGCCAAAACGACGTCGTTTTGGACCAAGGTTTTTAAAAATTAAAAAAAAAACAAAACAAAAACAGAAACAGCTGGGCCATTTCGTGGGCTTCTATAGGGTTTTAGTTGGGTATTTATTATTCTTACTGAATTGGGTTTTTGTAATTCCTCATTTAATTGGGTTTTTGTATTCCAATTAAACCCCAATTAAGTTTTCTTTTTTCAATTGGGTTTTGAGAATTCCTTATTTAAGTGGGATTGTGAATTCTCTTTATAAAGGACTAATTTAACATCACCCAATTTCATCAAAGTGTATGCATCACAAGAATCCTACGTTTTTCATCAAAGTGTGTACAGTTATGGAACGATACTTTAAGATAAAGAGATTAAATCCTCCTTCAAATAAGTTCAAATCCTCTTTCAAATAATCCGTCTAGTTCCAACTCTCCTTCAAATATTCCGTCTAGCAATAAGGGTAATTATGTGGTAGGTTAATTGTAATGTTTTTTTTTTCAATTAATTATGAATAACATTAGTATTGTTTAAATTATAAGGATGTTTAGTTGTTTTATATTTTTTTTTGAGCTCTTAACTTTTAAAATTTGCACCTCCGCTGAAAATTTCCTGGGTCCGCCGCTGCATAGACCTCCATAATCTTGTAAACCATATCCTTAACTTTGTAATATAGTTCTTATTTTTAAAATTTTATTTTACAAATGCTATTGGACATGCAATTAGATATACTGGTGAAAATAATAATATGTCAACTCATACGCCAATTGACAAACAGAGATGTTGTAATTGCATGATCCTTATGCAATTGCAGTTGTTGTGGAAATTAGACAACTTGTATAACCGGTAACCAAATTTTTAAAAAAAATTGGGTGCATTAGTGCACCTGGTGCACTATAAGTGTTGCCCTTAATTTATAGGGAATTTGTAAGTTCCAAATTTCTGAATTCAAGCTCTCAATGGTGAATTAAGAATGAGCTATGGTGCTTGCTTACCAATGTGACTACGTAGGAGAGAGGGTAGCAGCATATAACTCAACGGGGAATAATTCCATGTGTAAACACAATTTTTGCAATACACGTTTGTCGCTCAAATAGTTAAGAGCCTTCATCGATATACCCAATGTGTGTATTCAATTTTGTACCTCTCTAAAATACAGCTTTGTACAAAATAGAAACATACAAAATTTGTTAAGTTTCAGTTTTGGAATAGGCTCTTAAGTTCCTTGGGCCATAATGTAATCAACCAATACGACAGATTTTGGGTCCCCTTTTTTACAAATGAATGAAAGAGAGGACCCAATACTTGAGAAAAGAAAAGAAAAAGGACAAAAGAGTAGGAACTAAATGCTAGTGAGAAAATGGGGAAGAATCAGATAAATTCTTTTCAAAAAGATGAAGGTGCTTGGGTTTTTCCTAGTGACTGATGAAGTTGCTTGGGGGTTTCCTAGACAATACTTGTCATCTGACAGAAACACTCTTTGCATATATAAATCATGTTCTTCAATACGTCCAATATTGGGCTAAAACAAGATATCCAACAAAACAATACAAGAAAACAGTTTTTTCATTTCAATATTCATTTTTTATTTTTTAAATTTTATTCAAGTTAACAGTATTATGTTGGGGGTTAAGTGTATAGACACTTGTCAAAAAACTATATGAAAAATGAGGACAACGGATCCGTCCCATACAGATATACATGCGGAGTTGCTTTAGTTGACTGTTGACAGAGGGGTTTTTAAAACATTCTAATAAGTTTAGGGGAAAGGTGAGTCAAATTAACTTTTAAAGGGCAAAGTAAGACAGGATTTATTTTTTGTTCTGAATAAGACATAGGATAATTTAAGGAGTATGAGGATAATTAAGCCTCCTTGATGAAAATAAGGTAGCATTAAAGTATTAGCAAAAGAAAAAAAAAAGTGGGTGGGTGGAAATATTGAGCAAAAACCCCACTTAGAAGTTTCTAATAATTCTTTTTAAAAAAAACATAAAGGTGGGTTTTCCTAGTAGTCGCTGATGAAGGTGCTTGGGTTTTTCCTAGTAGTCACTGACGAAGGTGCTTGGTTTCCTGCTCAAAAAGTGTAAGAAGGAAGTTGTATTGCTCCTTCTAGTGGCCCTGACCTTTGTGATGAAGGTGCTTGGGTTTTTCCTAGTAGTCATTGATTCGGATCGGATCGGATTGTTATAGGATTTATTTTGAGATGTACAAAAAATCAAAATTTCATTAGTAGCCTTGTTCTTTTATTGTATTTATCTACTTTTTATATCAAATTTTAATATTTATATATAAAAAAATTAGTTTTAAGTGTATTCTTACTTCTTAGTGCATATAAAACTAAAATTACTCATTTTACACATATAAAATATTAATATAAAGCATAGAAAAACTAAATTATACTTCATTCTAAGTCGGATCAGATCAATTTTGCCTATTTCATTTGCATACTCCCTTGGAGATGTTATGGATCACTTTTTCTTTTCTTTTCTTCCTTTTTCCGCTTTCATTCTCTCCTTCCTCGTAATTCAAGCCGTTGTTGTTTAGCTTCACGTAAACGGAAATTCAATGTTTTTGACCAAAAAAACAGAACAAGAACTCAATGTTCTTTTCTTACTGAAGAAATATTAATCTGAAAGGGAGAGATTCTTATATATCCCCTTTACTATATCTCCACTTTTTGGAAAAGAAAAAAATAACCTACTTTTCAGAGGTTTAAAGAAGATGAGGTGTGGGCGTGCTTGCTTACCAAATAAATTATCACCTACAATCAATGTCGTCCAATATTGGGCTAAAACAAGATATCCACCAAAACAATACCAGAAAAACATATATAACGAAAACATATTATCTTTGAAGGCTTGGTGGGATTTTTATGCAAGGCGGCATCAGTGCTACGCCCGGAAATGACTAAAATGTCTATACGCCTATACATGAGCCATGTGAGCTATGGTAAACCCTAAACCCTAAAATGTAAGAGTTGATTTAGTTGGGCAAAGTAACTTTTAAAGGGCAAAGTAAGACGTAGGATAATTAAGCCTCCTCCTCGATGAAAATAAGTATTAATAAGTATTAACAAAATAAAAAAAAAGTAGGTGGGTGGAATACGAGCGAAGAGAAAAAGATGAAAAGAAAGAGACAAATATCTATCTCTAGATTCTCCACCATGAAGCAAACAAGAAAAGTACGTACCAATGTAGGTCGGTGGATGTAAGACCTTGACTTTGAGTCAAGGCCCTCTAAAGCAAACAATTAACCAAATTGTAATTCTCTTCAGATCCATTCCATTTCCAGATCCAACTATTCTCTCATCTCAGCCTTGTTTAGTTTTGCTGTTGTTGCTGCTAGAAATGGAAGCAGCAGCAAGCATAGTTATATCCCCTGCTTTGCAAGTGATCTTTGACAGATTGGCATCCCCAGCCCTACAAAAGCTTTCTGATATCTGGGGTGTCAAGGACAACCGCCACAACCTACAACGTGCCTTAACGAGGGTTCAAGCTATTCTTCAAGATGCAGAGGAGCAACAATTAACCAACAAATCTGTCAGGCTTTGGTTGTCAAATCTCAAGAATGCTGCTTCTGATGCTGAGGACCTTCTGGACTCGTTTATCGCTCAAGAAACTATAGAAGGCTATGATACTAAGGACCTTCGGTCAGACGTGAAGAGTGCTTGTAAAGCTTTCACTAGTATCAGTTTTCAAATTACAAACGGCACTCCACATGCTGAAAGAATTAGAGAGACACTCAACATGCTAGAAATGACGATACATGAGGGGCTCTTGGAATTTAATTTTAGAGAGCCTAGTATAGTAGATCGACGATCTACCATAAGGGAGACTGGCTCTCGTGTCGTCGACTCAAAGATATATGGAAGAGATGATGACAAAGAGAAGTTAGTCAAACTGTTACTATCTTCTGAAACTTCTGAGGATGGATATGCAACTTGTATTCCAATAATTGGTATTGGAGGAATTGGCAAGACCACACTTACTCAGATGGCATATAACGACGAGAGGGTACTCCAACACTTCGACTCTAGAATCTGGATTTTTGTTTCTGAGGAATTCAATGTCAAGAAGATTATGAAGGCAGCCATTGAGCGTGCAACAGGAGTTGAATGCAACTTGTCGGAGATTGAACTACTTCAGTCTCGGCTTTCGCAATTGCTGCAGAAGAAAAGATATCTGATTGTGTTAGATGATATTTGGACTGAAGACCAGGATGATTGGGACAACCTAAGACCTTTGTTTAGTGGGGGTCTTGATGGATGCAAAATTATTGTCACTACCCGCAGTCAAAAAATTCCATTCATGATGGATTTCCCAAATTCACCATTTTTTTTGAACGGTTTAAAGGATGACGATTGCTGGTCTTTGTTCAAGAACCGGGCATTTGGACGAGGAGAAGAAGAGAAGTATCCAACTCTTTCGCGGATTGGAAAGCAGATTGTCAAAAAATGTGGAGGTGTGCCATTAGCAGCAAAAAGTTTGGGAAGTTCAATGCGTTTGGAAAGAGAAGAAAACCAGTGGTCATTTATGCGAGATTGTGAACTTTGGGAATTAGAAGAAAGCGAACATAAATTTTTGCCTGCCCTGATGTTCAGTTATCATCATCTACCATCGCATGTCAAACAATGCTTTGCATTCTGCTCATTATTTCCCAAAAATTATGAGTTCAAGAAGCACAAGTTGATTCATTTATGGATGGCAGAAGGCTTCATTCCACAAAAGGGAAGCAAGCGGCTTGAAGACATCGGTAAGGAATACTTTTCCAAATTGTTGTGGATATCTTTCTTGCAAGAAGTACGGCTACATGACGGTGGAGAAATAATTGGATACAAGATGAATGATATCATTCATGATCTTGCGCGATATGTTGCAGGAAAAGAATATGTGGTACTTGAACAGGGTCGGCCACAAAATTGGTCACCAACAGAGATTCGCCACGCATCAGTTGTTTATCGATATGGTGCAAGAATTACAATTCCAAAAGCTCTTTATGAAGCAAAACATTTGCGAACTCTCTTATTGATCGGAGATTCTGGCTTGTTAGATAACGTAGTGCTATATCAAATTCCTTCAAGTTTTGACTACTTGCGTGTGCTAGATCTCAACAACTGTGATCTTCTTGATCTGCCAGCATCCTGGCGTCGCTTGAAATGTTTGAGGTATTTTGACTTGTCTTACACTCGTATCTCCCTGTTACCTAGCAGCATAGAGTATCTCTCTGCTTTGCAGACCTTAAACCTAATTGGTTGTCATAATCTTCGTCGTTTGCCATTTTTGGGACGCATGACCAGCCTAAGACATCTTAATTTAAGTGGATGTGTGAGTTTGACTGGTATGCCTTCTGGTATTGAAAGGTTACACCAACTTCAGTCTTTGCCACTTTTTGTCGGACCCGGGAAGAAGTTGCCAGAACTTCTGGTCGATACGAGTTTTCCACATCCAGGGATAGTGCGTATACGTAGTGATTTTAGTGATTTAAATAACCACCACCTCCATATGCTGCGTTATTTAAATCTTTATGGGGAATTGAATATTACTCACTTGGAGAATATTAAATATTTTAGACCAGCACGATTGTTCATGAAGGAAAATCTTGAGTCATTGGGATTATACTGGGGTCTTATTCCGCAACTTAGAGATTCATTCCCAAAACTACCTAATGCCCAACCTGAAGTAGGTGTCTCAGGATCACATTTAGCACCAGAACCTGAAGAATTTACTGAAGGTCTGCAACCACACAAAAATCTGAAAAAGCTAGTTATAAATGGGTACCCAGGAATCAAATTTCCTGATTGGGCCCTCCCAAATCTTGTCGCCGCTGATTTCACCAACTGTAGAAGTTGTGAACATCTTCCGGCCCTTGGGAATCTTCCGCTACTTAAGACGCTTTCTCTGCAAGGAATACATGGCATGAAGAGCATTGGTACAGAGTTCTATGGTGACGTTACAGACATATGGTTTCCATCACTCGAAGAACTATCAATAAGTGATTTTGCAAACTTGGAAGAGTGGTCAAGTGCAAATGTTGGAAATGCATTCCCTAGATTGAAGAAATTAACTGTAAAGAGTTGCCCCAAGTTAGCACATATACCGTTACCTCAGTCCCTTCAACATTTGGAGCTGCGGAATTGTAATCCTACGATGGTGCACATAGCAGATTTAAGTTTGCTATCTGTTCTTATTCTTGACAAAATTCCAGACCTAGTGTATCTCCCAGAAGGGCTTGTTGCATCAGCTAGTCTGTCTTCCTTGAAGATTTTGTCTTGCCCCAAGCTTCATTCAATGCCTTTGGAGATGCAAAACCTTAGTTCTCTGAAATCATTGACCATTCGTTGGTGTGAAGAGCTGTCCTCTCTGCCACAAAGTTTACAGAACCTCAAAGCTCTGGAGTCACTGGAGATTAGTAATTGTAACAGTCTAATATCCCTGCCAGATTGTGGAATTGGAGGTTTGGGTTCGCTTCGAACTTTATCCATTGAAAACTGCAGTAACCTGACTTCTCTGTCTTCGAGTTTAGAACAGCTCAAATTGCTTGAGCACCTGACCATCATGTACTGTCCAAATCTTGGTTCTTTTCCAGCAGGTGTGCAACACCTCTCCTCCCTTCGAAGTTTGATGGTTCTGAGTAGTACTTGGTTTGATTCTCTGCCAGAAGGGTTGCAAAATGTCAAGACCCTGCACTGCTTGGAAATTAGAAGCTGCCCCAATCTAACCTATTTGCCAGAATGGTTTAAGGATCTTGATTGTCTTAGATCTTTGATCATATATGATTGTCCTAATATAAAACTATTGCCACCGGGTTTCAATCTTCTCACTAAACTCCAGACCCTCTCTATTCAAGAATGTCCAGAGCTTGAGGAAAGATGCAGACAAGGTAGCGGTGAGGATTGGTCGAAAATAGCCCATGTCCCGCATAAGTACATTGGACTGCCTGAGGTAAAGCAGTCTGGCGAAGCGAGCACATCGGGAAGCTCTTCTGTCCAAGCATCTTCTTAGTGAGAAACTTCTATTTCATTGTCATCAACAAGCTATTATCATTATGGTAAGTCATTCCTCTTGGTGTTGTGGTGTGCTTTTTATTTTCTCTTTATAGGGTATTTATGTATTTCGTCTATGTACAAGGCTGTTTTGAGAATCCTCTGATCTTGTATTGTATGGATATCATATTAATTAAATTCCTGTGTTTTCGTCTGAGAATAAAAAGCAACACTCCGTATAGATGTTGATGATTGATACTTTTGTTTCGAAATGAGAACATTGTAGATATATGACTCTTTCAATATTACAAAAAGCATAAAAAAGCAACCTTGTATAATTAGTTCAAAAGTGTTACTTGTCTCTACAAGTTGATGAAAGGAATTTTCTTTTGTGGTTTTGCTGCTGCAGGGCCGCATGGGTTGGATGTTTTGGGGAGGGAGATAGTGGTCATATGGGAAGGTTTATTGATGATAGGCTTTTTGGGTTTTAATCGTTTTATATTTGCAACTGCCTCCCAAGAAGCTGTTTCAATGCTTAATGGCAGAATGGATTGGTGGAGCAACATTGGCAGTGTGGTGAAAGATATTAGACGGTTGGTGGTCAACATGTATGTGAAGGATGTTTTGTATCAACCTCGAAAGGGCAATGGAGTGGCGCATGCTCTTACTCAATTTGGCTTGAAGGAAGGCTCCAGTTTCGTTTGGACGGCACCACCTTGGTTGGACTCTCTTCTAGGGAAAGATAGGGATGTGGGGTAGGATGTTTTTTCTGTATTTTTTGTGGAGGTGTTGTGGTACTCTTTTTCCTTGTCCAGATTTTCTTCCTTGGGATTTTTTATGGCAAAGGTTTTAACGAGGCCATTGTTTTTGCCCTCCTATACATTTTCCTAGTTGAATGAAATTCTCCCTTTTGATTAAAAAATAGGGTTTATTTGTCTTTCTTAATTTTGATTCTGTTGATTTATTTTTTATTTTTTATTTAAATAAAGTTTTAGTCATATTGCGTTGTTGTATTGTAGAGATTTGCTTGATAGTTGCCATTTGATTGCCCATACAACAGCTCTCTGTGCTCGACAGCCATCACTTGACATCAACTGAAGGCCGTGCTCGCCCAGTTGGCCTGCCTCAGCCTCTTTCAGGTAATTTGTCGAACACCTTGCCCTCATCGTCAAGAGTAGGAACTAAATCTTACTCACAGATGAAGGTGCTTGGGGGTTTCCTAGTCAAATACTTGGGGAGTTTCAATACTTTTCATTTGACAGAAACACTCTTCTTGAATATATCAATCATATTCTTCAATACCTACAATCAATGTCGTCCAATATTAATGGTGCCTATTGACAATTTTGTTTATTTAAAACAGATTATGTAAAAATTCTCTCCTTCCTCGTAATTCAAGTCGTTGTTTAGCTTCATATAAACCAAAATTCAATGTTTTTGACAATAAGGAAACAAGCAAGAACTCAATGTTCTTTTCTTGCTCAAGAAATATTGCTTAAAGAAAACCAACTTAACTGCTGAATTTTGTTTCAATAAGTTTTGAATGAAAAGCATAGGGGATTAAGTAAAATTACACCAGATGCATTCAAATACTTTAGTTGCCCTCAGCATTTCTGTACTTATTTCCAGACCCTAGGCTTTATTTTCTATAAGAGAAATTGATTCAATGAGATAATGATCAGAAACAGCATCAGAAAATGATTTTGCTTTACTGTACATGTTTAAATTTCACATGATTCATATGCATAATCAACAAACGAAGTCCATGAACATTGTAGCCTTCGATCTATCAGGCTAACATTTGGCATATAAATTTTAGCATCTTGGGGATATCTTGTAATGCAAGAATATGATGAAAAATCACTTGCAAAATCCGAGAATTTAAAAATATGGCCGAGTTAAACAATAAATCCCAGTATTCAATTGCACAAAGCAAGGAATTCCACCAAGTTGCTTGGTGAATTAAAAACATAACACCAATTGCTTCATGATAGAAGAAAATCAAAGAGAGATTATAATTATAAACCAGTTGATGAGCCTAAATATGTATGCATATTTGCTGAGTGAAGGGACATTACCTTTTATATCAGTTATGTGTGTAAGTATACAGATATGCAGAGATCAGACTAATATTCACAGACGTTGAAAGGTTAAGGAAACAACTTTGTATTGAATTTGCATGATGAGAAATAAGCAAAATATAAAGGTGTTGAGGATAGTGTCAATTTTACCTTCATGGTCTCCTCGTTTATGATAAGAACCTTCGCCCAGCGTACACTATGAAGAAACTCAAAAACTTTATCAAATTTATTTCTCCGAGACGCCAAAAAAATCTCTACTTTTTCCAAACCCGTTAATTTCCCCAGATTCAGACTATTGTTCAAAACGCCTTCCCATTTCAAATATTTCAGATTTGGAGCAAAACTATTCACCTCTATGCTGCGTGTTCGCGCATAGTAATCATTAAAGCTTATATCAATACTTTCAAGTTTCTGACCAGAGACGTTCAGATGAATAGGGTTAGGATCATTGATCCAAACAAGAAGGGATTCTAAAGACGAACTTTCAATAGAGATTATTTGTATTCCTCGAATCCAAATAAGCTGTAATTCCTTCATGAATTTGCAGGAACGTGAGATCCATTTGAAAAACCTCTCATCCACTATTGTAACTTTTTCCAGTTTTAAGTAACAGAGATTACTGGAAAAGGATACAGACGGGGCTTCAAGAATCATCCAAGACAAATGCACTGATAGCGACCGCAAAGACTCAGAAAGAAAAACGCAAGATGGAAGCGCAAGAAATTCACATGCCAAACGGAGATCAAGCACTTCAACATTGCACCTTACCGCATTAACAATCCAGGTGATCACCCGAAAACGATCATCAGAAAACTTGCTCGCTGGTTCAGACCAAAAGCAGCTCCAATTAATGCTGAAGATCTGCATCCTATGATCACCACGATAACACAAGTACCTATCCAAAGAGCTCATCAACTTCGCTATCTTCTGGTTGGTTACTCCACGTGGCTTGCAACTTGAATATTCAAAACTCACGACCGGAGCTGATAGATAAAATTGCCTGCATCTTTTCGACAAGGCGCCCACTCGAGTGAGATCTTTGAAAGAGAGGAAGGAAAGAATCCGATGAGCAACTTCGTCGGGAAGATTGCTAAATCTGTCTATTGTATTTTCAGCACAATTAGCATCTTCAGCTCCATAACTTGCAGATGCCCCTAACTTACGCTTGCGCACCATGACTAACAGAAACCTTTCAAAAAGAAAATACATGCATCAATCGAACTTGAAATGAGGGATTTAGCAAAATAGCCTGTTATATAAACAATCACTTACAGGTGGTGGTGGTGGCTGAATCAGATTTTGTCTCCGGTAATGCCGTTGGCTTCTGAAGTTACAGGCACAAACCCAATACAGAAACCTAAACACTGGAGTTGCAGAGGCGCGGCGGAGCAAAGAAGAAGACGATCTAAAACATAAACGCTGCTAAAATGTTTCAGGCAAAATGATGACGTATGGTACAGTTGTTATTTTTAAAGAGTCGAGCCAAACGCTGGCGTTTCATCTTTATAGTTTTTTTTTAGGACAAAGGTGTGGTGGTAGCTCACCTCATTCCTTAACCATGAGGTTGGGGGTTCGATCCTCGCCCATGGGAATGGAGCGCATTTCGTGGCCAGCCATTTACCTCCATTGGGAGAGCTCCCGCGGCGAAAGGGATTAGTCATTGCTGTCGGCGGTGGATACCATTGGGTCTCACCTAAAAAAAAGTTGTTTAGTTTAAGTCATAAAGCTGCACGGTGTCATTTCCTCCATTACTCCACACATTAAACTTTCAATTTAATTGCGCCAGCCTAATTGTCAATTTTTCCTTTCAACTATTTTTTTTAGGGAGCTTCACTAATATACCCAAAATGGGAGCTGAAATTATAAAAAAACCCCATATGAAAATCACTTCATAAACATACACAAAACCCATTTATTAAATAACAAATTAGTATTGAAGTTCCAATATATTACAAGAACTGCCATTATCAAGCCCAACAAAAAAAAAACTCAAAAAGCACCCAAAACAACCCCAGCCCAAACTTATAAACAAGCCCAACAGAAGAAAAACTCAAAACGCACCCAAAAAAACCCCAGCCCAAACTTATAAACAAGCCCAAATATTTTACCATCTCAAAACAGTAATATAGTTCAAAAAAATTGAAAACAAAAAAGTAACTTCCAGCACCCAACTTCCCTCTGCGAAACGTCCCTTCAGTCACCTTCTTCATCAATGCGTCTTCTTCATCGCTCCAGAACCGAAACTCCATAACCACCACCGAGCTGCTTTATCTACTTTCGAAAACAAACACCACACTGACCTCCACCTTCAAAACCAAGACAAAAATTCATAGAACACTTTCGACGAGAAAGCGCTTCAAAGGTAAGACATTTACAAACCTATACTGTAATTTTGATTAATTGCTAGAGTTCCAGTCTAGGGTAATAACAATATTTTAGATTTGAATCAAGGACAAAATCTTGAAACTAGACTGCTTATTATCAGGATTTTAGTCGCTAGTTTACTGTCATTCTGATTAATGGCTGTAAAGTTCCAATATAGGGTAATAACACTGCTTGTTCATTCCTCTGAAAATCCTATTTCTGATGCATGTCTACCACTGTAAAGTTCCAGTATAGGGTATTAATACCGCTTGTTTCCTATGAAATCCTATTTGTAATGCATGTCTAACACTGTATAGTTCCAGTATACGGTAATAACACTGATTGTTTCTTATGAAATCCTATTTCTGATGCATTTCTACCACTGTAAAGTTCCAGTATAGGGTATTAACACTGCTTGTTCATTCCTCTGAAAATCCTATTTCTGATGCATGTCTATCACTGTAAAGTTCCAGTATAGGGTATTAATACCGCTTGTTTCCTATGAAATTCTATTTGTAATGCATGTCTAACACTGTATAGTTCCAGTATACGGTAATAACACTGATTGTTTCTTATGCAATCCTTTGTCTGATGCATTTCTACCACTGTAAAGTTCCAGTATAGGGTATTAACACTGCTTGTTCATTCCTCTGAAAATCCTATTTCTGATGCATGTCTATCACTGTAAAGTTCCAGTATAGGGTATTAATACCGCTTGTTTCCTATGAAATTCTATTTGTAATGCATGTCTAACACTGTATAGTTCCAGTATACGGTAATAACACTGATTGTTTCTTATGCAATCCTTTGTCTGATGCATTTCTACCACTGTAAAGTTCCAGTATAGGGTATTAACACTGCTACTTTACTGTCATGTTGATTAATGCCTATCATGTTGCTATTTCTAATGCAGGTATACCAAATAAATAATGAAGAAAGGACAACAGTCATCATCCAAAACAAAAACAAACAAGAAGCCGGGCAGATGGGACGACCCCAACTATGTGCAAATCAAGAGCAACATGCTCTCTTTTACAGCAACAATTGACAACATTAGAGAAAAACTTGAAAACCGGAACGATGTCAAGACACTGCTATCGAAGACACCTTTCTGGCCACTGATAGAAGCATATATGTAGAAAAGGTTAACAAAGGTCGAGTGCATGAAGTCTAACTACGACATCGTGAGACTCATTAAAGACTATGACACAAAGACAAGGAAGTTCAAGTTTAATGATGGTCACAGTGAGATGAAAAGCCAAGATGTGGCTGAAATTTTTGGCTTGCCAGACAGAGGCAACAAGCTACCAAGCACGACAAGCTCAACAAGGCCAAATTTGCATTTTGTGAAGAAATACTTCAGCGGTTATAAGAAGATAACAAAGACTTCAATTGATAAGTGCTTGAACTTAGCACTTGAAGATGAAACAGAAGAGGGTCCGATGGATGTAACAAGATTGACTTGAACTTAGCACTTGAAGATGAAACAAAAGAGGGTCCGATGGATGTAACAAGATTGGTAATCCTACAACTCTCATGACCAATCTATTCTGCAACTCTGGTTGTACACTTGCTTGGACATACACAACCACAATAGACACCTTAGAAGAGATGGGAAAATATAATTGGGCTCAAGGAGTTTTGGACTACATGTACTTTGGATTGGAACAAGCAAAGAAGAACAAGAAGGAAAAAAAAATGCAGCCAAGCGTGAGTGGCTGCCTAGTCCTAATACTGGTAAGAACACAAATCTCCAAACTGCAAATTCATAGCATTATTCTAATGATATGAATTGACAAGTGATATTGCAAACAAAAAATTGTGCAGTATTGGCTCTGTCAAAGATCTAACCTGATCACTCCAATTCCTGGAAGAGAAAAAATGACACCGGGGGCTGTCAAATGGAGTCTTCAAGAACTGAATGCGAAGCTTCATCATCTAAAGAACAACCAGATAAAGGTACTCTTTCCTTTCAAATAATCTGCAGCTGGTATGACAACATTGTTAATAACATGTCATAGACGTACATTATTAATACCATGTCATAGAAGTGCACTCTTAATACCATGTAATAGAAGTACACTGTTAATACTAAACTCTACTTAACAAACAGATAAAAAGCACTAAAGTTCAAGAGGAGGAGGATGCTGCTGAAGAAGTGAATGAAGAGCATGATGATGCTGCTCAAGAAGAAAATGAAGAGGAGGATGATGCTGCTGAAGAAGTGGATGAAGAGCATGATGATGTTGCTGAAGAAGAAAATGAAGAAGAGGATGATGAGAACCAAGAACATGAAGTCC